CACTGGAAAACAGGCCGATCTCCAACATCTATAAATAAGGGTGTTGATGTCAGCAGCACAGCTGATATTTCTCTCCAGGATGGTGTCACAGCCAAAGAGGAACAGACGAGGCAAGATTGAACTAACAGATTCTGCAGAGTGGGAAAATAGAGATACTGTCATGTTTGTCTTCAGGGATCTAACCCACATGCAGAACACTCCGAGGCTGGGAAAAAGTTCACAAAGTTTATTTGAAAATGGTTCACAAAAAAAGCACAATGGTTCTGGGATTACTCGGGTCCGGGTCTGGTCACGACTGGTTTCACTGCAGAGAGGGACAGATTGGTTAGCAGTCTTTCAGTGAACTTGCAAGTTGTGTATTTGCAGGTCTATACCTGATCAGAGACTGAGCAGCGCAGTAGAAGGGGGAAACCAGGAGGGTCCAGAGGCTGAAGGCAGGCAGAGGGCTAGGCAGAGGCAGGACTGAGTGGTTAATCTTACAGAGCAGGTTCAGAGCTTCTCTCTCAGCTCTTTCTGAGAGCGGGCAGGCAGGTTTCTGACAGATTCGGATTTCCAGGGTTCTTCTGAGAACAGACTGCTTAGTTTCACGCTTGAGAAACTCTTCCAGGTTTCAGGTTTTCAGACAGGTTCTTCCTGAGAAGCAGAGAAGACAAAAACAGATTAGGTTCAGGCTTCAAGGGAGTCAGAGAATCAGACAGGCAGGTTGGCTCAGGATTGCTAACCATAACTGGCAAAACCAAGGGCGTAGGTTTGATTTGAACTTTGGTAGGGACACTATTGGCCGGGTGTCATTGGTGCTATGCAATATGCATGCCCTTTTTTATGCTTGATGTGAGCATCCGTACTGATAAGAGGAATTCATTGTTAAGAGAGAAAAGCATCATTTTGCTCTATTAATAAAAATGTTATAAGCACTACACTCATTAGATGCTGTTTATCAATGTTTGAAGTATCACCGGCTCTGATGAATGTCGAATTAGGACTGTTTAGCACTTTAAAAAAAAAGGTTTAATTTGAACGACTAAGAGAGAAGGTAAATACAGTATATTCTTTTAAAGATATAGAATTGTGCAGAGTTAAACCCCCCACTCTTATATTTTTACCTACTATGCTCTCTCTGTATCAAGCAAAATAATACATTCATTAAAATATTAACTTCAGTATAAAAGTTGAACAACTGGGCTGTAGTTACTCTGTGTAGCCCATTTCATGTATTTTATCTGGGGCTGAAAAAATTAATCGTATTAATTGATTATTTCAATAATAGTCAAATAATTTAGTAAGTGATTCATCATGAACTGGAGTATAGAGACTCTAAAACATAATATAAATGTAAAATGTGCCTTTCCTCGACAGAGCAACCCACTTAGATCAGTAATTATACCAAAATTGTAAAAATACAATATTTATATATTTTCTTTTTTAGTGGCATCATCTACAAACACAACACTAAGAATGA